AGGTGAGAACTCAATATTTCTACACCTTTAGTTGTCTTATGAAGGCGAGCACCTGGTGTGCCCTCTCAGCTGATGAGAAATGCTGTTTTGCCCGTAAACCTGTCAGAAAAACCCATTTGGCAACAGCCTTTTCCTGGGGGTAAACCACTCCACAGGAAGTGAGCTGCTGAATAAAAGGAGCAGCATGGATGAGAACTTCACAGGGCACTTCCTCTGAGGAGGCTGTGAAGGAAAGGCTGAGTGATTGCATATTTCTTTTAAGGACAGGCTCTTCTCCCACAGCCACTGCGGTGAAGTGAAGTGTGGATGAACAGCTTATGGAGCCTCAGCAGGGTTAATGCGCCACCATTCATGCTGCCAGCTGACAACAACCAACCTCCCGACCCAGACAGGAAATGAGGGCAGATTCACATTCTGGATTTTAGATGCATTCCCCAAAATTCAACCTGTCATTTGATATCTTTGAAAGCGTCAAACATTTTCTGGCTGCAGATTCTAAAATGAGAGAATGTGCCATTTTACAGAATATTCTTGGGCTTTGGACTGTTGGTTGGACAAAACCAGACATCAGAAGACATCAAACTGGGATGGACATATTTCTCTATTTTTACATTTCAAAGAATTCATCGAGTAATCACAAAAACAACCTGATCATTAATCAGTAATGAAAAGAACAGTTAGTTTGGAGGCGGGGGGGTTGATTCGGGGTCCACCCTGGACCGGTCGCCAGTCTATCACAGACAAATCTAACTAGTTAGACAGAAACATTAGATGGATTTTTACCTGGCTTCCTGGTTTCATTATATTCAGATCACAGATTGTTAAGCTCATGCTGCTTATGCAGAACCATGTGTCCTGTGTGTATCTGTGCAGAGAAAACACTGCAGAGAACATTACTGAGCTATAAAACTGTCACTGCAAGGCTGAAGACACAACATTCAGTCTGCAGCAGTAAAAGCATCTTGACGACCAGCGGCTCCACATTATCTGTCAGCACAGGCCAAGGCTTCGCTGTGAGTTTAGGGATGACTGCTGCTGAGCAGGAAGTGGCTGAGGAGGAAATGCCTTTGTGATGAGAGGCAGCAAGACCTCTGCTGACTCTCCCTGTTGCTACATTTCCTTCAGAGCGCCACCTCCAACACATTGTTCTCATCTGCTCACTCACAGTCCAGAAGCATGCTTAAAGGTAGGACTGGTGATCCTGGAAAAACCAGCAAGAGGACGCTCTTTGTTGAAAGTAGGCAACTGAAGAAATCCCACTCTTTCATTCTGACTTCTCTCCAAAACCACTCCTCCAAAACATAACGTGCACTGCAACGTGCACTGCCTGACAGCTACTTACAGATTTCAGGAAAATAACAAATGCCCCCCAAACAAAACCAAACCAATAGTTGCCTGTCGAGCAGAAACACGGCCACCATGGCGTCACTGTTCAGCCCCTTTTGTTCTCTCTGTTGTCACAGTTGTTCAAAAGCCACACCGATGGTAATTCTGGTTTTACTTCTTACAGCATCCCACTTCTTTTTAGTTGTAACTTTCTCAAATGCAGTGTTACCCTAACCCAGATCTGTGGCCCCGAACCCTAGTCGGGATCTCTGCTTCATGGCTAAGCTGCTTTAGCCCTGGCTCGTGGCCGGTAACCAGCCTTAGAAGTGTGGGACAAGTGAAGAGGGAGGCCAGATAACACAGGCTTTATTCCACTTGGTAACACAAACACTGCATGTGGCCATTGATGCCCAGTTAACTGCATCACAGTCCTATCTGTACACTTAGAGCTGACTACTGTCTGGCTGCCATGCAGAAAGAGTCTGTTCTGTGCGGCGTCTTCTCGCTCTCACACTGCAGGTCAAAACTTCTAGCAACAACAACAACAACAACCTATAAGACCATATATCTTAAAGGGGAAGGCCTGGTCTGTAACAACGGTCTGTTTGTAAATGAAAGCTGCTGTGGTACCTTCTCTGCCGTAGCTCACTAGCTTTAGCTGTAAAACAGAGCGGTAACACGTCTGCCTGCAGCTGCAAAGTCTTGTGGGAGACTCTTGGCTCATGCACTGAGTGCACGGGCAGAGAGCACATACAGTAAGTAGGAGGTTAGGTTGACAGGCAGGTAGGTCATCCAATGGTTTAGCTTGGGATGAGTAAAATTATTGGTCAGGTGATTTTCAGCCCTGCTGCTGCCACAGATGATGGATTTGTTTCTTTATGTTGCCGATGACATTGAATGTTTTCATTGGCATCGGGATGAAAAGAGAATTTCAAGATATGTAACAAAAATCCTTGTGAAAAGAACCACAAACCCTCACTTTAAGACTACATGGGGACATCGCCTCCACAAAGGAAGTGATGAAACCTACAGAATAAAATACAAACTTCCTTCTAAACATATCTTTACCCAGTCGGACATCCTCTCACATGCTGAACAATGAAAAGTCATGTGACATTTGACACTGGACCTACAGCAGGATCTCATCAGGTGTAAACCCAAGTTAACCTGCAATGAAACTGGTTTCATAACTACCAGTATTTTATGAGGAATGAAATGCACTGAGCATATCAGTCCTCAAGGGTATATACACAATGCATTCTGGTGAGAATGAATACAATAAAGAATATCCACCCTTTACAAGAAGACTGCACCTTTAAATAGCTCTCTACATAAACCTGTGCCAACAACACAAACAGATGAATATTACAGCAGAACATTGTTACTACATATAGTGTAAATCCTGAGGTTTGTGGTTCACAGACCAGGGCTCAGGTGACCACAGCTGACATATGTACAGGACACAGTGTCCTCTCCAGGTAGAACCAGTGCCGGGGCACCTCAGGGCTGTGCTAGCTCGCCTCTGTTATTGATACTGTACACTGCCCAACCAGTTCCTTCAAACATGACTCCACCATGCTGTCCCTGCTGACGGTGACGATCCTAGGATTCACCAGACTAATACTGACAGCATGATGACTGATGCTACCTCTTCTTGGACTACAGAATTTCTTTGCAGGAAGATACAGCAGCGCATCTACTTTCTTCACTGGTTTAGATTGTTTTTCATGTTGCAGTATAGTTTAGCAGCCTGGCAGTGAAACTTGAAACTAAGCAGTTTAATCGACTCAGGATCTGTTTGAAGATCACTGGCCAACCTTTAGAACCCCCTTTTCAGGCAGCTCACAGTGTAAACATGCTCAGACTCACTACTGGTATCTCTGTTGACTTCTCACGTGAACATGAGAATGCTGATACCTGCCCTCTAGCTATTTATTTTTAAAATTTACTGTTTACTTTATCTGTTTTATTTGAATTTCCAATTTACTCTGATTTTGCTGTGAACACAGGCCACGTTAATGGTTAAAAGCAGCTTTATTATAGAAACAGAGCACCTAGTAATTCCTTAACAATGAAGTCACTGATTAACATGGGCGACTTTCAATTGAATTGGTTAAAATTTGCATCCATAATAATAACAAACCACACTTTCATTATCTGTCATCTGGCCACGTGAACGGAGGAGAAGTTACGCAGCACTGCCTTATCTTTAGACTCAAACATGCAGAGTCGTGTTTTTGTTTCCAGTGATCGAGCATTAGCCGAACAAGCTCGCAGACCTTGAATCTGCTCATCAGATAAGCGGGGGAAGCCACGTGCCATGTTCTTGGGCAGCAAGAGACATACACAGTGTCATACTGAGACAACACTGCTGAGGCCTTGAGAGTTTGGAAACAAAGCTCCGGTGACTCTGTCCTGGAGCGAGCCAGAGATTCTGCCGCTGTGGTGGCTCCTGAATTTGGTTTCTGTAGATCCACAGTTCCTGGAGGTATTTGGTCAGAAACGAGTACATTATATAAAAAGGCTGAAATACAGCAAATCCTCCCTTTTGTGAAGCAAATTCCAAAAAATAAACTGTTTCACCCCTTTTACACAAAGAATCATCAGCTATCTGCCAGCTTCACTGAGACTACTCTTTTATAAAGCACATTCATTATTTCACACTTCTCCTCCTCCTCAGAGGCTTCAGGTCCATACAGCTTTGAAGACAAACACACAAACATTCAGACTAAGAAGTGTCACGTCAGTTTTCCTCTGTGTACCGTGCACAGTGTGTTTGACTTCCAAATGCTCCTTAGACTTCTATGCCACCGACTTAAGAGCAAAACACGCTGAATGTTGAAACTTCTCTCCTGCAAACACCTCTGGCCTTATCAGTTAGCAGGTATGCTTACACATGCTTATGCTAAACATTCTACGCCAGTTCTGTTGGTTGCCCTCTTTCCACATGTATTCTGGGTGATTCTGCTGGTGCTGCAGCAGCTGCAGACATCATTCATTCCTTTCCTTAAATGTATAAACATACCAAGGTGGAAGGGCT